GAGAGAGTCATATGCAGGATAAATTGGAAATAGTAAACAGAGGAAAGGCACTAGAATCAAGAAGGTTCAGGAATAGTTTACTCCAAAAGGTAGAATTTTCTAGAAGTAGAATTTTAGCTGGGACTTGAAAAAAGCCAGGGAAGGAGATAGAGGTGAGGAGGGAGAGCATTTCATGAATGGGGAATAACCAGTAAAAATGACTGGATCATAGGAATTATGTACATAATCTTCTTCTTTCTCAAAAAAAGAAAATTATTTCTCCAGCATCAGAAAATTCCTTTCTCTCCCTAGAAAGTCTGATCCCAGAGGTCTTGAATTAAGGAACTCCTGAAGGCATGTGATATTTAAAAAGGTCAAGAGACGTAATCTCTAGGTAACTAATCATTTTATTAATAATACTAGCATATTACCAATAAAATGGGTCAGTGACATTCTTGAATGCCAAAGACAAATCATGGCAGTGGGCTCAGAGTTTATATGCCCTTGGAAGAGTATGTGTTCCTGAGTGGCAATCAATTCTGCTTGGTTAGCAATTAATGAAAGGATGAATATTACAATAAGAGGTAGACCTATTTTAATAAGGAGCTGGGGAAATATAACTTTGATCATGTCATTTACTTCCAAATTACCTAGACAAAGGGTCTATATCTCTCACCCAAGCCTGAGCGAGAACCCAACAGGTAGGGAGTTTCACCTTCGATTAAATTCCTTATAGGGTGGGGTAGCAATACCTAGATTGAGGAGAATGTTAATTCTATCTGCTTTCATCAATCCTATCTTCCAGAGGCTGAACCTTGAAATGAGGACTTTAGAAAAAGGGGGAGAACTCTGGATCTCCCCAAATCATTGATTATTAATAATCATTTCCCTCAGGTAGGCTAAATAGGCAGGTACATGTTTAATTTAGCCATGTGCTTCTGTAGGAAATCTCTCACTGCACTGGCTCCTTTCATCTATTAACCGGCCACTTCTCAGGAAATTTGCCTTTTCTAGCTAGAAGACTGGATTCTAGAATCAAACTGCCTAGGGAATTCAAAATCCTCAACCCTTATACAGAAGATTGGGGTTCAGGGACACCATCCATGAAATATTTTTTCAGGCCACATACATATAAAGCACGCCTGCCTCTGCCATATGCTTCTGCCACAAGTCACAATCACATATTCCTTGTGAGAGGAAACTGATAAGCACAGATTCTCTCCATCTTCCCTGCCAAATGTTCAAATGCAGGTTTGACTCTGCTGTGTTCTGGTCCGGATGTCCAAGAGAAAAGAGTCATGGGATCTAAACGCTTAATTTTATATCCCATAGGGACAGTAGGCACCTCAAATGAGAGTGTGTCCCCCTAGGCTGTTAGACAAAAATCTCGAATTTCCTGTGTCCTATTATTAAGGCATCATTGCACACCCCCATCTTCAATGGGGTCTTTAGTTACCTCCAAAGCCCAATGTCCTATAATTTTGCTCAAATTAACCAGAATAACCTGAAAGTGCACACCCTCTCATATTTACAAACTTTCTCAGGATTTAAAAATGTCATTACGGCTCTTCTCTGAAATATTATCTAGCCATAATTTCACAGAAGACAAAACTCACTTTACTGTGGAGAAAATAATGTATTTGTGGGGCTGGGGGTTGGTACCAAAATCCCCAGAAAAGGATTTTATAATGTTGGTCCCAATGCCTCTAAAATATGGCATAAATTCTCTCCTTCCTCTGCCTCACCAACTACTTTCTTCCTTTTATAATCTGGCTTCTGACTCCAATAGACACTTTATTGAAACTATTCTCAAAGGTTATCGGTGATTTAGAGGTAGCATGGTAAAGGGTACTGAACTTCAGTCATGAAGCCTAAATTCAAATCTTGGCCAAGGGCCCACCTTCAGGAGTTCCCTAGCTCAACAGCTCTGGGATCAGACCTAGGATTTTCCGATGCTGGTGAAATAATTTCTTTTGGAGAAGAAAATTATCTACACAAGCCCTATGTTCCAGGTATTTGATGTTGGTCAAACCACATAACCTCTACAAGTCTGTTTTCTCATCAGCAAAATTAAAGGGTTAGACTAGAACCTGGGATGGGGAACCCGTGGCCTTCTAGGTGCTCAAGCACAGCCCTTTGACTGCATCCAAACTTCACAGAACAAATCCTTTTATTAAGGATAAATGATGATCTCCGAGGTCTTTCAGCTTTAATCTATGATTCTACAAATCTATTACCTGATAAGTCCTAACGCCTTTTTTTCTTTTCTTTCTTTTTTTTTTTTTTGGAGGCAATCAGGGTCATACAGCTGGTAAGTGTCTGTGGCTGCATTTGAATGAAGGTCCTCCCAATTCTAGAGCCAGTACTCTATTTACTGAGCTCCCCAACTGCCCCCATGGCCTTTTTTCAATCCATCCAACTTGTATTTACCATTACCATTTTCCCCATTTCTTTCTAGATACTCTTCCCTCCCTTGACTTCTGTGGAACATTTCTTACCTGGTTCTTTTCTTAACTGTTTTAGATTCCCTTGCTAGACCATTATTCATCTTCTGCCTTCCTTTAAGGGTAAATGTCCTACAAAACTGTATTCTGGGCTTTCTTCTCTCTCTCTGTCTCTCCCTGTCTCTGTCTGTCTCTTTCTTCCTCCCTCCTTCCCCTCCCTCTCTCTGTCTTGTCCTCTCTCTTTCCTCCCTCTCTCTGTTTTTCATCTCATCTGATCCTATGAGCTGGGGGGAAGGGAGATTGGTCAGGGACCAGCACAGAAAGTAAAAGGTAGATAAGGAGATGTTTAAATTAGGTGTAGAAGTATGAAGACCCTAAATCCCTAATGAAGTGCCCCTTGTCCTCCTTAAAAAACTATATCCGTAATTATTCCAGGAAGAAGCCAGTGGGTAAAGAAGATTCCATCTCTTAATTAGGAATCATTCTTTACTGTTTAGGTAAGAAGAGGGAATTTCTCTCTCCTGTCTTCTTTCAAGGGCCATGGTGCTTTACAGAAAAGCTACCCAGCCAGCAGGAAGCTCCTGCATCCCACAGGGTGCAATTCAAAAAGTTGTGCAGTTGAAGACTAAGTTGTGACACATCTAGGAGAGACTGGAAATACGAGATTTCTTTGAGAACATGGAGACAAAGTAAATGAGAGTGATCCGACTTTGGTCACATAGTAGCACTGTTGGCTCCTAATCCTGTGAACTTTTGTGGAGGCAACTGTCTTAAACCACTTTATGGAGAAGAAGCATGGGGTAGTTGATAAAGGACAAGACCTGGAATCAAGAAGACCTGTGTTCAAGTCTCGCCTTGGACACTGACTGTGTGACCATAGTCAAGTGACTTCACCTTTCTTGAGCTTCAGGTAACTCTGTAAAACAGTAAGTTAGACTGTGATCTCCTGTGAAAGGAGTCCCCCAAACCATGAAATTACTGTTCATGGATGTGTACTGAAGCAACACAACAGAGGGGCAGAATGAGAGCAGAATGGAAGTAATTTCCCACTACTATCATCATCCCAGCATGATAACAGTTTTGCATTTGAAATGGGAAGTCTAGTGTATGACCTTTGACTAGTCACTCCTGGAGCTATTTTTTTTTTCATTGGTTGTATGTTGCACCTGTTCTGGGGCCATTCCTCCAATTTGCACTTGAAGATTGATCCTCTAGGGAGAATGGCCACCTCCAGGGATAGCCTTCTAAATGTAGCCTTCTAAAATTATAGATTTCAAGCTCCTACCAATGAGCTCACCTTTAATAGATAGTAAATACAATTAGCTCAAAACACAGGCATTTACTGAGATAGAATTGTTGAGAACAAAAGTAATCAAATATTTCTCTATATACCCAGTGTGTGTCCTCCCAAAACTATATCATTGTTGTTCAGTCCTGTCCAACTCTTGGCGACCCCATTTGGAAATGGTTTTCTTGGCAAAGATACTGGAATAGTTTGACATTTCTTTCTCCAACTGAGGCAAAGAGGATTAAGTGACTTGCCCAGGGTAACACAGCTAGTTAAGTGTCTGATTAGTCTTTCTGATTCCAAGCCCACTGCTCCATCTAGTCAGCCACCTACCAGTGTCAATTTGAAGAACAGGCACAAGCAGAGTAGAGAGGCACTGGTAGGAAACATGTGGCCAAAGTAACACACTCCTGGACCTTCAGGGTTCATTTCCTTCTACTCCAAGTTTCATGATGTTCTCCCTGGTCCCAACCTCTCTTCTTGACAGGTCACTCAGCAATTCCTCTCCACAATTCAACTCCCCCATGTCCAGGGCTGACTCTTCTCAACTCAAAGCTGAAACTCCCCAACTCTCAACTCACTAGTCCTTGTTGACTGCAATGTTCTCTACTAGGAGAATGGTGTCAACGCAAGGCACCATGGCCAATGTAGGCTGAGGGGCGAGGATGAGAAGGCAGAGGAAGAGAGAGAAATCTCCTCCCACTCCAGAGGTGCGGAACTATATTCCCTCTCAAGGGCTGGGACTAATCCCCAGTTGACTTTCTCCTCTGTTGAGAGGAGGTCGCACTCTGTCTCCATGCGGGCGAAAGGGACACAAGCAGTGGGCTGGCTGTTCCTAGACCAGCCAGCCAATGGCTAAGTGCCCTCCAATGAAAGCTTCGTGCCACCAGGTAACATTGAATAACTTCTCTGTTACTCCCATCAGTTGGCCTGGGGAGGTGGGGGAAGGGGAATAAATTGAACAGGGCTGTCTTAATTAACATCCCATCCCCCCAACCTCAACTACAAGTAAAATGGTGGGTAGGCCTCAATAATTTCATAATTCTTTTCCAGCTCCAACATCCTTCATCACTTCCCCAGACTGCGTACACCTTTCTCTCAACTTCTTGCCCTTTAAAGTCCAAAGAACTACAATTCCCAGCAACTCTCTTCTCCCCAAATGGAGTCTTAGAGCAGAGGCTTTCGGGAGTTGTAGTTTCTTCCTGGAGGGGGGGGCGAGGCATGCGCGGGGCGGAAGTGCGGACTTCCCGGCCCCGTCCTCTTGCCCTCACTGGATCGGATCGAGGCTCCTCCGGTCGCCGCCGCCGGCTCGCCGTCCCCGGCCGTGCTCCCCGCTCAGGCTGCCCCGCCCGAGCCGGCACCGAGAAGGGTGAGTGGCGGTAGTGCGACCGACGCCGCCGGGCTGCCTGCCGCTCCTCCCCCTGCCCAGCCCCGCTCTAGGCGCTTCCCACCTCCCCCCACACCCGCCCGTTCTCCCCGCACCCGCTCCCCGACTGGCGTCTTCTCGTCCCCACCCGTTTCTCTCCTGGATGGTGACACCTCCCCCAGGTCGCGCTGGCGCCTCCGCCTCTCCCTCCACCTCGTTCCTCACTCCCCCTGACATCTGCTGTGGCTCCCCATCCCCCTCCTTCTTGTCTGGCATTTTCTCCTTCCTCTTCCTCCACCCACTAACTTACTTTGCACCAAGCCCACCTAGAATCTCCTTTTCCCTTACTGGGGCCGCCTTGGCTCCCCTCTCAACCTCCCAACTGACACTTTTTCTCCTTTTCTCAGACTGGCACTTTCTTTTGCCTTCTCCATCCTTGGATTGGCACCCTGGCTTCCCAGTGCCTGGCACTATCTATTTCCCCCTTTCTTCTCTTTCTCCTACTTGACACATCGCTTATTCAAACCTGTTTCTCTCCGAGTCACTATAGAAACTCATTGCTGTTTGAGCCCTCCTCCTTCCTCCCACCCCACCCCCAGCCCCCCAACTCTCTGTTTCTTCCTACTTCTACCAACTTCGATAAATGTCTTCCATCCCTGCCAGTCCAGAGCATGGAGACAAGCCGGTGTGACTTCAGATAGGCAAGGCTGTTGATGCATACTGAGGTGTGCTGGTTATTCAGTGTGAGGACCGTGTGTGTAAGGGAACCAGACATACTTGAATCGGTCCTTCACTTTCACAAGTGGTAGAGATTACACGCTGCCTCTCCTTCCTCTCCCTCTTGAAGTCCCCCACAGCTTTGCCCAAAGGGCTCATCCACAGAGCTGGGCTGCAGTCACTGAGGTCAGCCCTTGCCCCTGTTTCACACCATGATCTCTTCAGCAGAACAATGTGTCCTAAGACCTTGCTCCTTGTGGATCTCCTGAGAGAGCAAGCAGTGTCTCTCCCCAGTGTACTGCCTGAGTGAATGAGCCTTCTATTCATGCCGTGGGCTTCCTGCTGAAAGGCACATTGAAGGAGCCAGCATCATTCCACTCTCCACCAGTGTCCAGCCTTAGCAGTAACCTCCTACCCCATGCAACACAGGCCATCTGTAGAGAGAGCATTCAGGTGAAAGAATTCCAGAAGGCTACCACTGTGTTCTGGAGACCTCATGTTAGGAAAATAAATTCAAAGCCATACTCCATTTTTTTCCCCTTGGGGGAGTGTTTTATATCAAAATTGCCTGTCATAGTCTAATGTTGTTAAACATACACTGGCCTCTTTGTATTTACCACATTATTCTTAATTTAGGTGGGGTCCATCTGAGGGGAAAAGCCCATGAGTTGATACCATTTGGCTGTCTTTCCTTCCCCAGATTTCTAAACCTAGACATAATTCAGCCATATGTTCAGAGTATGTAACTGCTTTGCAAACAGATTCAAAGCTTCCACTACCTTTCAAAATTTGGACCTAGCTTTCTTTCTATGATTACTTCTTCCCATACTTATCATCATGTTTATACAGGATGGTAATAATGGGGAATAATAGTGAAGGGTAACAGAAGCCTATAGACAAATGATACCACTTGCTCATGGGCGATTTTTTCAGTGTTTATTATTATTAGACTTAACTGTGTGACCCTGGCCAAAGCACTTATCCTGTCAGGCTCAGTTTCCTCATCCGACTATGTGCCAGGGTTGTTGTGAGGATAAAAAGATATATTTGTAAAGCATTTTGCAAACCCTACAGTGTTATGTAAATGCTAGCTATTATTATTAAAATTCTTACTTTCCCGAAACTTGTATCTTTATTTTAGGTTTTCCTTTCATTGGAACCTCAAAGTACTTTGCAGTTACTAACTTGGGTAGAACTCACAGGTGCACTATAAGATAATTGTATAAATGTTAATATTCTCTTCCCTTTTAAAAACCAAGATAACCAAGGCCTAAGAAGAGTAAGACTGGCCCTTAACCTTGAGATAAGTCAGTGATGTAGGCAGGAATATAAGATCATCCATTCAGATATCTATGTTGTAGTCAGGAGTCCTGGACTGGGAGTCTAGAGAACTTGGGGTTTTTGTTTTTGGTTTTGGTTTTTGTTTTAGAGAACTAGGTCTTTTGCTAACTCACTGGGGCAATGACTTAAGTGCTTTGGGTCCTAGTTTCCCCATATTTAAAATGAGAGGGTTGCATTAGATGGTGCTTTTTTTAGATTTTTCATAGCTCTTAAGTTCTGTGTGATTCCATTTCGGTGACCTGTTGGACAGTTGGGAATCTGCTGTAGAGCTCTAATGCTTATATTAAAGTGAATGGATAACTGACCACTTTTTGTGGATTAGCTTCAACTTTCAAAATGCTTTTTTGTTTGGTTAGATCAGTTTATTGACCTTCAAATACTTTTTAGTTTGGTAGAAAAAATATTGATTACTAAAGAATTTTATTTATTGGAAGAATTTACAGCATTATCTTTTTCATTGTATTTATCTTTTATATTAAATGTATGCCCATAGGTGGAGACAAGATTTCAGAGTAGTAAGAAGCAGTGCTACAGACTGCCCTCCAAAAAACTTCCACACAGATCTAGAAAATACACCAGACTAAATCCTGATGGGAAAGTTCAGAAAAGGCCACAGTGAATCATTTGTCCAGCCCAGCTTGTCTTGGAAAGACAGGGAAGTCTGGGTACATTAGGGACACAATTGGGCCAGGAGCATACTATGCCTCAGCATTGCAGTGCCCTGTGAGAGGCTGTGCACCAGGCTAAGAGGACTCCATACTAAGGCCTATACAGGGCATTGTGACAGGGACAGGTACCAACTGGCAGCTTTGTCACCCCCTTCCTACTTCCAGGTCACAGAGTGAGAAGGGGACTTGTGCAAGGGAATGTCATCCCAGGTAGGGAGGCCTTGGGCCGTGTATGGAGAAAAGAAGAAATTCAGAACCCCGCTGAAGCTGTGGTGTGACTCAAATCCTAACCTCAGGGCAGGGTCTTGCTTCCAGCATCTAGCTCAGGAATCCCAGATTAAAGAGGGCCCACCTATAGTCCTACCACTCTGAACCAACAGAGCTCTCCAGCTGGCTAAAGGGGGTAGAATCCAGCAACAGTCTACCTTTATTCAGAACTAAGTCTGAAGTTCAAAACTAAGTTCAGAACTCAGGAAAGAGTGAGGACAGCAATTGGGCATTGCTCTGAATCACACCATTTGGGTAGCACTGAAAGCTTACAGATCTCCAGCTTCTCTCTGAGAGCCAGGAATGACAACAGTCAATACCCTAAGAAAGCAGCAACAGAACCAGCTAGACCTATCCTCTAGAAGTATGGCAGAGCCTGGCTCTAACAGCAAGTGCACATTCAGAAAGTAGGCTGGAAGGAGGAGCAACAAAAAATAAGGAGCTATTATGGTGGCAAGGACACTCAAGATACAAACACAAAAGAAAAGAATGACTCCAAAACATCTGTAAGCAACTCCTCAGAGAAAAGCTCCACAGCTTGGGCACAAACTCAACTAGAATTCCTGGGAGAGATGAAGCAAGAATTTTTTAAAAAGTGTTTTAAATGTTTTTATAAATGGAATGAGAGTGTTTGAGGAAAAAAATTGAAAAATAATTAAGAACTATGGAAGAAAGAATTGGAAAAGGAATTAACAGCTTAGCTGAAGAGGTTCAAAACCTTGCCCAAGCAACAAACTCTCTTTAGAATGAATGAAATAGAAGCCAATGACTTCACGAAGCAACAAGAAATAATGAAGTAAAAAGGCTCAAAAAAAAGTAGAGGAAAATTTAAGGTATCTCACAGCAAAAACAACTAACTTGGAAATTAGATAGAGGAGGAAAAAATTAAGAATCATTGGACTGTCTGAATGCCATGACCAAGAAAAGAACCTAGACATATTTCAAGAAATGTTAAAAGGAAACTACCTAGATCTCTTAGCACCAGAGGACAAAGTAGAAATAGAAATCCCAGGAACATCAGCGATTGTTCTAGGTCAAAGAAAAAATACTGTTAAGCAGCCAGAAATACAAAATTCAGGTATTGAGAAGCCACAATCAAGATCACATATGATTTATCAGCTACCACTACCATAAAGGAGCAGAGAACCTGGAATGTGGTATTTCAGAAGACAAAGGATGCCCAGAAATAACTTACTCAGCAAAACTGAGTATAATGCTACAGAGTAAAAAATGGATCTTTATAAAATAGAGGACTTCAAAGCACTCCTAATGAGGATAAACTGCTTGCATTCCAATGTGGGGAAATAGATGAAGTATTCTTAGTGTCCTCTCTGAATGTGATCATTGGGTCATTTAGAGAGTCTAATCAAACAAGGGCCAGGAATGATTCTATAATGTCTTGATGGTTTCAAGAAAAAAATTAAAAGAGAAAGGGGAAAGGAATACACTGGAGTGGGGGGGGGAGGTTTGGGAGGTTCGGGGAAATGATCTCACATAAGTACACAAGTAGACATCTATACAAACAAGGAAGGGAAGCAGCTGACACTTGAACCTCACTGTCATCTGAAATGGTCAAAAGAAGAAAGAATATACACACAAAATTAAATACAGAAATACATTTCATAACCAGGGAAATAAGAGGGAAAAGGGACATTCCCCAAGAAGGAACAAAAATATTTATAGTGCTTTTTAAGGTAGAAAAGAGTGGGAATTTGGGGATGTGTCCATAAATTGGGGAATAGATGAGCAAGTTATGATATATAAATATAATGGAATACTATTGTGCTGAACTGTTAGTGTTATCTAACCAGGATTCGTGATGACTAATGATGAAACATGCTACTTACTCCTGATAGAGAGGTGAAGGATTCAGAATGCAGAATGAGACAAAAAAATTTTAGAAATGGCCAGTGTGGAAATTTTCTTTGATAGACCTTGTAATGAGTTTTGTGTTTCTTGTATTCTCTATTGTGGGGTGGGAAGTTGGTGCAGGAGAGTGAGAAGGCAGAT